TGTGTGTGTGTGTGTGTGTGTGTGTGTGTGTGTGTGTGTGTGTGTGTGTGAGAGAGAGAGAGAGAGAGAGAAAACAACCTCAGCCCGTGTATTCTCTCTCTATAGTTAATTGCTCCCATCCCCAGCAACATCTTGGTGAGTCTTCTTGCCCTGTCTCGATGTACAGCATGTAAACATACCCTTCGGTCCAACTCGTCCATGCTGGCCAGATATCCTAAATTAATCTAGTCCCATTTGCCAGCATTTGGCCTATATCCCTCTAAACCCTTACTATTCATATACACATCCAGATGCCTTTTCAATGTTGTAATTTTACCCACCTCTACCACATCTTTTGGCAGTTCATTCCATACATGCACCACCCTCTGTGTGAAAACGTTGCCCCTTAGGTCCCTTTTAATTCTTTCCCCTCTGAACTTAAACTTACGCCCTCTAGTTTTGGACTCCCCTATCCTGGGGAAACGACCTTGACTATTCACCCTATCCCCTGCTGCTCATGATTTTCTCAACCTGTCTAAGGTCACCTCAGCCTCTGACGTTCCAAGGAAATTTACCCCAAGCTATTCAGCCTCTCCCTATTGCTTGAACCTTTCAGTCCTAGCAACATCCTTTTAAACAGATTTCTGAAGAAGTGTCTAGACCTGAAACGTCAACTTTCCTGCTCCTGTGATGCTGCTTGGCCTGTTGTGTTCATCCAGCTCTACACCTTGTTGTCTAACATCCTTGTAAGTCTTTTCTGAACCATTTCAAGTTTCACGACATCCTTCCTATAACTGGAAGACCAGAATTGCACGCAGTATTCCAGAAATGGCCTAACCAATGTCCTGTACAGCTGCAACATGACTTCCCAACTCCTATACTCAATGCACTGGCTAATAAAGGCAAGCGTACCAAATGCCTTCTTCACCACCCTGTATACGTGCGACTCCACTTTCAGGGAACTATGAACCTGCACTCCAAGGTCTCTTTTGTTCAGCAATACTCCCAGGACTTTACCATGAAGTGTATAAGTCCTGCTCTGATTTGCGCCACCCAAATGTAGTACCTCACATTTATCTAGATTAAACTCATCGTCCCATCAGATCACGTTTCCATTGTACAGTTGGTTCCGCTATAACGCATGTTCCGTCAATGCGAATTGGTTGTAACATGATTGACAAATAGGGGACTGCTATTTCTAAAACGCGAACTTGTGTTGGCTATAATGCGATCCCATCAGTGCGTGGGTGTACGCATCAACATGTGATGGTTTCATGGGCTTTGTCATGAATACGTACAATGTTAGTGCCGAAAGAATCTCCGTGAGGGCTTTGTCGTGAAGTGCTTTCTGTGAGATGTACAGTGCAAACCCCTCCCCCATCAAGATATTTTTTCAAGGTAAAGTGTTAAATTTGCTTTTATCTCATTATTAGATATGAATTAAACATTTGTGTTCGACTTTTGAACAATTTTTTTTTTGGCAGTCTGCCCCAACCCCACTTTTCCCATAGGCCCCATCCCCACTTTTCCCATAGGCCCCATTATTTCTACAGTGCGGTTTTCTATCACGCAAAGTCACACAGGAACACAACTATCGCGTTATACCAGAACCACGCTGTACTCTGAGATGACCTTCTTCACTATCCACTACACCATCAATTTTGGTGTCATCTGCAAACTTATTAACCATATTTCCAATATTTGCATTCAAATCATTTATATAAATGACGACAAAAAGCTGTGGATCCCAGCACGGATCCTCACAGCACACTGCTGATCTCAGGCCTCCACTGCTGAAAGCAACCCACCACCAGCACCACCACCATCACCACCACCACCCTCTGTTTCCTACCTTCCAGCCAATTTTGTATCCAAATGGCCAGTTCTCTCTGTTCCATTTGTTCTAACCTTCTCAACCAGTTTACCACGTGGAACCTTGCCAACTGACTTAATAAAGTCCATACAGACAACATCCACCACTCTGCCTTCGTCAATCCTCTTCATCACTTCTTCAGAAAAAAACTCAATCAAATTAGTGAGACGCAATTTCAGATTAAAGGATTGTACTAGTTCTGTTGTTCAGATGGTAAAGAGAGCTAAAATGAAGATGAAAATCACTGAGACTGGGACTAATTGGCATCTGCCCTAAGCAAGTAAAACAGGGAGTCTGTCTTTTGGACAAACATGGGAGGGCCTGAAAGGAAAGGTGAAGAGGTGTAACTGAATGAGGTGCTCAAAAAGAGGAGGAAGTATCTGGGAAGTTGAGGTTGACACAGTGGTGTGAGGGGACAGCCTGTGAACCAGGTTTTGGGCAAATCTTGATGGCTAAGCAGTCATCAATAATAGGTTTGCAGTTGGTGATTCATGGTGTTCAAGGTGGGTGATGGGTGAGATGACTAGGTCGTGAAGGAAACTGTTGAAGCTTGACCATAGCGCGCACACTAGGCAGGAGGGTTGGTGTCAGAGTAAGATCAGGATTGCCCTTACCACCATATTCCTTTCTAAATTACTTCTGAAACATCTTGTTTCTGTTAGAAACAGATGGATAGTGTTTCAAATAACATGCAAATGTGCAATGCTCAGAAACATCAGCTCCCTGTTAGCACTTCCAACCATTCCTGGTATGTTCCACGTTGCTCACTATTCCCCACTAGGTTTCTTCCCATTTCTGCATGTCTCATTCCAAGCAAAGATGAATCAAGTTAACATTCAGCCAATGTGACGCCACTGTTTAAAAAAGGAAGTAGACAAAAAGCAGGTAACTATAGGCCTGTTAGCTTAACTTTGGCAGTGGGGAAAATTCTTGAATCTATCATTAAGAAAGAAATAGCGAGACATCTGGATATAAGCTGTCCCATTGGGAACACCCAGCATGGGTTCATGAAGGGTAGGTCATGTTTAACTAATTTGATGGAATTCTTTGAGGACATTACTTGCATGGTGGACAATGGGGAACCTGTGGATGTGGTGTATCTGGATTTCCAGAAGGCATTTGACAAGGTGCCACACCAAAGGCTGCTACATAAGATAAAGTAGCATGGTATTACAGGTAATGTACTGACATGGATAGAGGATTGGTTGACCAGTAGAAAGCAAAGAGTAGGGGTAAATGGGTGTTTTTCTGGTTGGCGATCAGTGGCTAGTGGTGTGCCTCAGGGATCAGTGTTGGGACCGCAATTGTTTACAATTTACATAGATGATTTGGAGTTGGGGAGTAGGTGTGGTGTGTCAAAATTTGCAGATGACACTAAGGTGAGTGGTAGAGCAAAATGTGCAGAAGACGCTAAAAGTCTGCAGAGGGATGTGGATAGTCTAAGTGAGTGGACAAAGGTCTGGCAGATGGAGTACAATGTTGATAAGTGTGAGGTCATCCATTTTGGTAGTAATAACAGCAAAATGGACTATGTTTTAAATGGTAAAAAATTGCAGCACACTGCTGTGCAGAGGGACTTGCGTGTCCTTGTGCATGAATCGCTAAAAGTAGGATTGCAGGTGCAGCAGGTAATTAAAAAGGCAAATGGAATTTTGTCTGCCATTGCTAGAGGGATGAAGTTTAAAAGCAGGGAGGCTATGCTGCAGCTTTATAGGGTCCTGGTGAGGCCACACCTGGAGTACTGTGTGCAGTTTTGGTCTCCATACTTGAGAAGAGATATACTAGCACTGGAGGGGGTGCAGAGGAGATTCACTCAGTCGATTCCAGAGTTGAGAGGGTTGAATTATGAGGAGAGACTGAGTAGACTGGGATTATACTTACTGGAATTCAGAAGAATGAGGGGAGATCTTATAGATCTTATGAAGGGTATAGATAAGGTGGAAGCAGGGATGTTGTTTCCGCTAGCAGGTGAAACTAGGACTAGGTGGCATCGCCTCATAATAAAGGGAAGCAGATGTAGTACTGAGGTCAGGAGGAACTTCTTCACCCAAAGGGCTGTGAATCTGTGGAATTCCCTGCCCAGTGAAGCGGTTGAAGCTACCTCGCTGAATGTGTTTAAGGCAAGGCTAGATAAATTTTTGAACAGTAAAGGAATTAAGGGTTATGGTGAGTGGGCGGGTAAGTGGAGCTGAGTCTCAAAAAGATCAGCCGTGATCTCATTGAATGGTGGGGCAGGCTCGAGGGGCCGGATGGCCTACTCCTGCTCCTAGTTCTTACGTTCTTATACTCTTGAATTAATGCAATAACATCTATGACAAGGAGAGGCAGAGCTTTCTGCTGAAACATGTACTTGACTCTTAAGATGAAAGGAAAATATTATTGATTGAACTGGAAAGGTGCTGAACTGTTCCTCTTTCCACAGACGCTGCTTGACCTGTGAAGTGTTTCTGTTGTTCCCTGTCCTTTTAATAGTTTTAGAGTTCTGGTGTTCACAGCATGTCATCAGCTTTCCAACTCAGTTCATAAGTTCGCAGTCAATGAGGCCATTCTTACCTGTGAGCTGTCACTAATGTGTTTGGAATTAACTTTCTGCTTCTTTTTTCACAGTGCATCACTTTAATCTGGCCCGGAGTAGAATGCCAGGCTTCGATTATGGCCCAGATAGTCTTGGATCAGGATTAACCCCTCTACATCTTTCTGACGATGGTGAGGGAGGAGCATTCCACTTCCATGACCCCCCACCACCATACACAGCTTATAAATACCCTGACATACAACATCCTGATGACCCACCACCTCCGTATGAAGCATCCATCAGTCCAGGCAGCATGCTGTGTGTCAATCAAGGTGTGTCCCCTCAAATGTCATTATAATACCATTTTAAGGGTTTGTAATCAGTATGCCCATTGATGGCTCCATGATCTGTAAAGAATGGCAGGAAAGGTAAATGTGACCCCCCTAGACAGAGATTGGATAATAAAAGATCTGGGCACTGAGCAGGAGAGCACAATTAAGGGTGTGATATTCAAGGCTGTGAGGAGGACTGTGTGTAGGATATTAGAGATATAACGAGTGAATTGATATATGGATGGGTTGCTAAAGGATATGGGGAGTGAGAGATGGGAATTAAATTAGATGATGTGGGGTGAGCAGGTAGTGAGTTAGAGAATGGACCATTTTGTGGGGATCAGCAATTGTTGGATATTTGATGGTCTGTTTCTGTCTTTGAATCTTGTACAATGAAGAAAAGGCTACCACTACCAGATAACCTGAAAAAAAACAGAATTACAAAGTACTTGGCAAAGAAAAAATTACAGTTCGGGTCAGATCATGTCAGTCATCAATTGATGCCCTGTTTTGTATTTCTTTGCTGCCCTCAGTGGGTGCTCCCATTATTCTGTGCTGGTGCTTGTTCCGATCCTCCTTTGCTGGATATCAGCCAATGATGGTAATTTGATAAACCATTCAGAATTTGATGCATGGGTAACCCTCAGCAGCTTCAAGCAGCTATTTTCAATTACATTTTATTGTCTGGTACAATACAGAAATTTTGCTTTTTACTTTTAGACAGTGCTTCTGGACAGACGATGGAGCCGAGCAGCCAGCGACCTATGGCAGAGGGTGCTGCTGGAGATCAGGTGAATGCCACAAACTTTACTCTACCAGCTGTGACAGAGGAACTGGAAGATTCAGCTGACAGCAGTACCTTGCTCGTGCCATGTGACACATGCTCAGAGAGTGAAGCACTAAGCAGTCACCCCTCAATAAACACTGTTGTATAAATGGGATGGGTCTATTACTGTTTTTTGGAGTAAAAGCAAATGTTTGCAAAGTGCTGTACAGGCAAACACTAGTCTGATGACTATAAAAGGCTTAGTTCAGGTCTTCAGCAGTAGATTTCCTGTTTCAATGAGTGCGTTAATCCTCTGTGTATATATTGATGGTGGAATGCAGCACCTTTCCCTGGAGACAGGTGCAGTAGGACTTTAGGAAGCTAATGGGCAGCTGGGTTTGTGTTTTTTTTAATATAGATTTTGAGCTTCAAGTTGAGAGGCTGGAACAGCCTTGAGTTGGTGGTTTTGCATGCTGAATATATACTGGCATCTCAAAGCTCTTATAACCGGGTCTTGCAAACTGGCAACAGATGGGGCCAATCATCAGAAAGAGCTTTGTGATATTTCTAGGCAAACAGAAGTGCACTTATTGTCGCCATTCTGTTCTGTGATTGGGATACAGCAGTGATGGAAGTGGGCTGTACAGTAAGATGAATGGTATTTGGAGAATGCATGTTGCAGAGACTGTTTACAAGGTCTTAGTGCTCGGGGGGTGGGGTGGGAGGTGCAGGCTGGGTGTTACTAATCCTTTGGGTGTTTTGAGGCAGTAGTAATGTGGAGGTGGAGTCAGTGCACTAGAGAAGGGGGTTACAGTCTCTCTCAAGCTGTAAGAATGGCTACAATCTCTCCCAGATTAGGGGGGTTTGCAGGCCGAATCAGGGTCTCATGGGCGCAAGAGGTTACTGGCTTTTTTGGTTTGGGACCAGTGTTAACAGATCCACTTGGACAGAGGGTGAGGGTCTGAATTTGCAGATATTATCCAGTAGTGCAAGGCTCAGTGTATTTTTTTGCCAGTACAGTGGCAGTAGCAGCAGTTAGTTAACTGGAAGGAGGCTGTGCTCCAATCTCAGGCTGTTGATTAAGGCACAAGAGGTCCTATGCTCCCAGCCCAGGGGGACCAAATGGCAGGACGGGAATGCATCCTGCGAAGCGTAGGGTTAGAGTCTGAGAGCATATTACCACACTCTGTGCTCCCTTTCCTACTCACTCCGCTGCAGATTTTTAATATCATGTTCATTTCTATTCGAGAATACCAATTGATGTATTGATAAGTGGAGTTAATATTGATCAATAAGTTGATCATTATTACTGATGCAGTTTTGATTGAAATTGATATGAACAGTGATTTTGCGGTCAATATTGATCACCCATATTGATGTGGTTGATTGATATCAGTCAATGTTGATCCTTGATGTTGATGTGGTTCATATTGATGAATGATATTTTTGTCTTTTGGGGGGACATTTAGGGGGCAGTGACATGTATCATAGGTTTAGATTGATTATGGAAAAAAGCAAGGAACATTCCAGGGTAAGAATAATTACTGGGGGAAAGCCAATTTCAAGGATCTGACTCCGATAAATTGAAATCAGAGTTTGGCAGGCAAATAGTGACTAAATAATGAGCTGCTTTTAAAGAAGGGTTTGTCTGAGCACAGTTGAGGCATACACTCAAAGAGGAAAGATAAAGCAAATAAATCCAGAGTTCCCAAATGACAAAAGAGATACAATTTAAGATGTAGAGGCGAAAGTGTGCCTCTGGCCCACATCAGGTGGACAGTACAACTGAGAACCAGGCCTGAGTATAGAAGGTTTAGAGGGGAAGTGGAAGAAAAAGCAAAGAAATTATATATTTAAAAAAACTGGCAGCTAGTATACAAGGAAATCCCAAAGTCTTCTAAAGGCACAGTAAAATGGTGGAATGGAGTGAGGCCTATTAGGGACCAAAAAGGGGACATAGCCAGGGCATTAATGCTTTGCATCTCAAGGAGGAAGATGCTGTGCAGCCACCATGAAAGAAGGCAGACTTCACATACTTGAAGGGCCTAAAACTGATGATGAGTTGGATAGGCTGTTTCTACTTACTACACATGAGGCACCAGAACAGGATGAGATGCATCCAAAGAGAGTGGAACTTGAGGCACCGGCCATTATTATAATTCTTCCTTCGAATCAGTGATGGTGCCAATGGGACTGGAGAATTGCAAATCTTAAACCTTTGTTCATAAAAGGTTGTTCAAGATAAGCCAGGCAATTACAGGCCAGTCAGTTTAACCTTTGATAGGAAATCTTCTAAGTTTAGATTGATTAATCCACATTTGTCCAAGTCACTATTAATTTTAACTGAGCTCATCTTGTTTAACTAACTTGCTGGAGCTTTTCGAAGGAACAAATTTGATGAACTCAATGCTGTTGATGTGTGCATGAACTCAAGAAAGACATTTGATACAGTGAGGTACAACAGATTTGTTATAGCTTATGGAATAAGAAGGACTGTAGCAACACATGAAATTGGCTGAGTGACAGGAAACAAAACTTTGATGTTTTTGGACTGGAGAGAGGTTAGTAGTGGAGATCAACAGAGGTCAATGTCAGGATCCTTGATGTTCCTTATATATATGAATAATCTAGACATTGGTTTACAAGGCACAATTTCAAAATTTGTGGATGATGTAAAACTTGAAAGCATTGTGAACTGTGAGAATGATGATATTGATTTTAAGGATCATTGTCAGCTTGGTGGAATTGGCAGCCAAGGTTTAATGCAAGCAGAGTGAAGTGATGTATTTTGGTTGGAAAAGCAGAGGGAGACAAAGGGTGTAATTTTAAAGGAGATACAAGAGCATTGTGTAAATGTGCGTAAATCATTGACGGTAGCAGGATTAGGTTGAGAGTGGTTAATGAAGCCTGCAGTATTTCAGGGTATATTAATAGGGGTAAAGAGTACAAGAGCAGGGAGGTTATGTTGAACATTTACACAATGCTGCTTTGGCCTTAACTGGAGTATTGGCTTTAGTTCTGGGCACTGCACTTTAAGAAGGCACTTGACAAGGTGTAGAGAAGATTCATGAGATTGGTTCCAAGGATGAAGAGTTTCAGTTACTTGTATATATTGGAGCGGTTCAGATAGTTCTCTGCAAAAAGAAAAACATTGAAAGGAAATTTGCTAGTGTTCACAATCATGGGGCTGGACAGAGTTGATAGGGAGAAACTGTTCCTATTGGTAGAAGGATCAAGAACGGCACAGATTTAAAACAAGTAGTGACAACATGGAATAAGAAGTTCCTGTGGCAAGTGGAATGCACTTCTTGAGCGTGTGGTGGAGGCAGGTTCAGTAGAGGTACTTGGTGAGGCGATGGCCTTAATGGTATTATTGCTGAAATGTTAACCCAGAGACCCAGATAATGTTCTGGGGACTTGGGTTGGAATCCTGCCACAGCAGATGATGGAATTTGAATTCCATAAAATGTCTGGAATTAATCTAATGATGATTATGATTGTTTCATAATCAATTATTGTTGATTGTTGCAAAAACCCATCTGGTTCACTAATGCCCTTTAGGGAAGGAAACTGCCATCCTTACCTGCTCTGGCTTGCATGTGACTCCAGACACACAGCAATGTGGTTGACTGTTAACTGCCCTCTGGGCAACTAGGGATGGGCAATAACTGCTCCGTGGTCAGGGACGCCCTCATCCCATGAATGAATAAACTTGAGAGAATTGAAGGGCACTTTGTAAACTCTTTCTTTGGAGAGCTGTAACAGACAAGACTATCTGAAGAATATCTCAACCACACATTGGTCACAGCACAGAAAAAGCCATTGTGGCTGATTGATATTGATCAGTGATATTGGCCTTCACATTTACGTGGAAAAATGTCCATCCAGATGGAGAGTTTAGAAATTGTGCACCACCTTTCTATTGTCTAGCCACAATTTCTGCCCTTGGAACTCAATTCACATAACCAGGTGCATGCACGCACAAAACTATTCAAATACTGCAATTACCAGATGTTTGTATTTAGTTTGTCTGTAATTGATCTTACTGTGGCAGTGGAAAGTTTTTGACATTTGGTGAAATATTATGTAGAAATTAAATTTGATACTGCTAATAGGTCCATGCGTGTTCAGGAGTTTTTCATTTTTCACTTTTATGGCAGCACATTCAAGTTTTCATGTTGCTGTTCATTCATTGAAATGCCAAATAAATTCTAAAGTGGAGGTAACTTCAGTGCTGTTTTCTTTAATTGTGTCAAGAATAGAATGCATGTGTTCCCTTTTCCTGCCCAAAATCAGTGTACTTTTTGCAATAGATGTGTCTTTTCTTACCCTTGAATATTAACCCCAAAGATTTTGAATGTTTAAAAAAAATTTTTCTCAAATTTACAGAAATGAAAATATGAGCATTATCCAATCACACTTGATCTCTCTTGCACCTGCATGCACTAGTTACAGGGAAAAGTATGCTTTTACAGCTTATGGTTAGCTCATAGTTGTACATAGTTATACATAAAATAAAACAGAGTTCCAGCATCTGCAATTGTGAAACAAAAACAAATTGCAGGTGAAACTCAGCAGGTCTGGTGACCTCTGTGGAGAGAAAGCAGAGTTAATGTTTAGAATCCTGTGACCCTTCTTCAGAACTTGGAACTTGCTAGTTCAAAAGAAAGGACCTAAAATGTTTTCTGAAGAAGGGTCCAGACCCGAAACGTCTGCTTTCATGCTCCTCTGATGCTGCCTGGCCTGCTGTGTTCATCCAGCTCTACACCTTGTTACCTAAAATGTTAGCTCTGTTTCCTCTCCATCATGGTGAACTCTGATATACAATATCTGCTCTTACTTGTGGATAATCATTTCATTGCTTGGATTGTTTGGTTGCTTTGATTTTGAAGAAAAGTCTTGTAAGCAAAGGATTCTCAACAGGAGGGTGAGTATTCTTGAAAATGAATTTCTAGCAGCTTGGTTCTCCAGTGAACTTGAAGTTGGAACAGGCTGGAAAATTTGCTATTTTGGGATCTCCCACTTAAATAATGCCTTGGCTACTTGAATTATTTGCAGCTACTTTGGCTTTAGAATTAACTGCAATCAACTTCTGGCTGTTCTTTTAAAAGTAGAAAAAACATGACTCCGTTTTTTTTTAACGAGTTTGAAGTTCTTTTCCAAATAAAAGAATGTTGTTTATGGTTTAACACTTTTTCAATGAAGGGGACATCAGGTTACAACGGGACAGATATTGGGTCCTTTCACTTCAATCTGCCACCCGTTGAGTTTAAGTGTTCCTTTTAGTCCAGAACATGTCTCGGACAGGCAAGCTGGAAATTGTATCGTCCTTTTGGTCCATCCTTAAACAAAACAATGTGAATTCCCTGGATAGCTGTGAAAATCTACTTTAGTTGCTTGGGATCTGGTACTGCACATAATTTATGTCACATGATTTGCAGCAGCAATTTTAATGGTTTGTCCTCCTTAAAAACAAGAATGTAGACTGAGAATCCATGACAATTATGATCTAGTACAAAGGTATAAAGGGATGGGAGTGGGCCATTCAGGCCCTTGAGCCTGTCCCACCATTCAATGAGATCATAACGGATCTGTGGGCTAACTCCATATACCTGCCTTTGGCCCGTATCCCTTGATACCTTTTGCTTAACAAAAATTATCTACCTCAAATTTAAAATTAACAACTGATGCTGCGTCCATTGCCGTTTTGTAGGAGAGTTTCAAACATCTACCACTCATAGTGTGTGGAAGTGCTTTCTAACATCTGTCCTGAATTGTCTGGCCCTAATTCTCAGATTATGTCCCCTAGATATAGAGTCCCAACCAGTAGAAATACTTCCTTCATTTACCCCTGTCTTTTCCTGTTAATATCTTGAATGCTTTAATCAGATCACCTCTTAATATGCTAAATTGTAGAGAATGCAGGCCTAATGAGTACAATCTTTGCTCATAAGACATCAACATTTCTCAATTAATATAAAAACATCAACACACCGCCTAAAATCAATGTAAAAACACAGAGTAAATAATAGAAATGTAATGCAGAAGGTAGACACATCATTGGTATACTTTATTTACAGCATAAATACTCGGACATCGCAGTAGATTGCAGTATTTGAGGTAAATAATTTTTGCCAGTTGATCCAGCATGCTGGTTGATAAGTTACTGGTTAAAACTTCTTTTGTAAATCACTTTGAAGTTGATGTCTGCTTGTTCTTGATCCTTTTACAAGCAGGAACTATTTCTCCGCATCTACTGTATCCTTTCATGATTTGGAAAACTTCAGTCAAATCTTCTCTCCAAGGGAAACAGTCTTCAAACATCTCTAATCTGTCTTCATAACTGAAGTTGCTGGAACCATTTTCAGAATCCTGTTCTGCATTCTCTCTAATGTATTCACAATCTTCCTCGAGTGTTTTACCTTAACTGTACATAATACTCCAGCTGATGTCTAACAAGTGTCTTGTACAAGTTCAGCATCATGTCATTGCAATTGTACTCTGTGCTCTTATTAATGAAGTCTGGATTATTGCATATATTTTTATTTTTAATTTGCAGCCTTGGTTAAATAAGTAGACTAATGCTGCAGACAGTATTTAACTAAAGCCCTGCATAATTGAAGTATAACATCCCCACTTTTATTTTCACATTTTATACTAGCTCTCCTTACTCTTTTCTACCAAAATGAGTCACTTCACTGTTCTCCATATTGAACTTCAACTGTCATCTATCCACCTGCTCTACCAACTTGTCCTCTTCAAATTGTGCACTGTCCTCCTCACAGTTAACAATGTATCATCTCAATCACACCAGGTCTCACTCCCTGCCTCTAACCCATCTTCATTCCTTATCAATTCATCCTCAGAATCACAGAATTATGCAGAAGGAGATCATTCAGCCCATTATGTCTCTATCTGGTACCAATCTCCCATTTTTTCCCTATACCCTTGCACACAATTACTATCCAAATAATCATCCAATGTCGCCTTGATTGCTTCAATTGAACATGCCCCCATTATGTATGCCAGCAATGCATTCCAGATGTAACTACTCGCTGAGTAAAAATATTGTTTTCTCATTTCACTCTTGCTTCATTTGCACATCACTTTAAATCTATGTCCTCTCATTTTTTTTAACAAGTGAGTGCAGCTTCACCCTGTCTACTGTCTCAACACCAATCTCTGCCTCATCCTAAAGTTGAAGCTTGTGGAATTGAAGGCCAATAATTCACCGAGTGAGGAAATTGGTTGAGTGGAACGAGGCAAAGTGTAGTGATTGTTGACAGGTATTTTAATTGCCAGAATGTGGCTAAATGATGTCCAACAAAGGACCTTTTTGAGATCTCAACAATTCACTGCATAAACAGCTTAATTGATTAGCAAATCTCAATGTCACAAAGTGGAATTGTAATCTTTGTTGATGGGAGTGTAAAATTACAAGGTAAGTGAATGGGAAAAACTGGCAAATGGCTTAGTGAGGTCACCAATTTGGATCTGATCACAATGCTTACTACAGTTTGACACATGGAAATCCAAAGAGAGTTGGGATCTAGGTACGTGGATCAATATAATAATTGGGTGTAGAAAATAATTAGGTTCTTGGAACATTGGCCTTTATATGGAACCATAAAATCAATGAAATTGTGCAGTACAGAAGGGGACCATTTGGGTCTATGTCAACCCAAAGACTCCCAAGATGCCCTTTTTAATCATATTTTCCTGCACATGGCCTATAGCCCTGCAATTTACAGTAAAGTGCAGATCCAGCTACTTTTTGAAAGAACTTGAGTTTAGGGTCTCTTCTTCCACCATCAACTTCCAGGCAGCAAATTCTAGACACCCACCACCCTCTGTGTAAAAACATTTTTCCCAATGAATGTTCCCTCTTGTCATTTCTGTCATTTAGCTTGAATCTATGACCCCTGGTTTTTCAACTCTGCCATGGGAAACGGGTTCCTCTTGTCTGTCTACCCCTCACAATTTTGTATACCTCAATCATGTCACCCCTCAGTCTTCTCTGTTCCAAGGAAAACAACCCCAATCTGTCCTCGTAGCCACCAGTTCTCCAGCCCTGACAACATGCACAGATAATTTACTGACTCCAGAGCAATTACATGCTTCCTCCAATGTGGTAACCAGAACTGCACACAATATCCCAGTTGTGATCTCACCAGTGTCTTATACAGTTTGGTCGTTATATCTCTATTTTTGTATTCTATACCTCTGCAAAAATAGTAGACTCGCCCACTTTAAGGGCATTTAAATGGTCATTGGATAAACATATGGATGATAATGGAATAGTTTAGGTTAGATGGGCTTCAGATTGGTTTCACAGGTCGGCGCAACATCGAGGGCCGAAGGGCCTGTACTGCGCTGTAATGTTCTATGTTCTGTGTTCTGCTAATGAAGGAGAGCATTCCATATGCTTTCTTTACAACTTTGTCTACCTGTACTGCTACTTTACAGACCTGTGCACTTGCATGTCAATCCAGAAAATGAGAATACAAGGGGTTAGAAGTCACACTTGAGCTGTGCAAAGCACTGTCAATCCCACTGCTGGAGTTAACTGTGAGCAGTTTGGGGCATCTTACTTTAGGAGGCAGTATGGTGATTAGAGGAATGATGTGTGAACAGGCGTATTATGGGATTAAATTCAGTTAAAAGATATTGGATAGTTTGAGTGACAGACAGGAAATGAGTTGCAGGTTGCAAGCTAATTGAGTAGCTCGGAGATTTTATATATAGAATTACGGTCACCCTGGAGTTATAACAGGAATCTAAGCAAGGAGGTATGGTGTTATATCTATCGATACCCAGTATTGAGTTACATGCTGAAATCTAATCATAGGTCTGGAGAGGTTTATATACAGAATAACGGGTGCCCAGGAGTAAGTTACTACCCAATGTTCCATCAAGGGCTCTGGAGAAACACTGCCTCCATTTTAAATGTCATTTCAGCCGTTTCATTTCAATGTGTAGTATTTTTAATTGTGTTTTGCTTGGCTCTGTATTACCTTGAGCTACTCAACTTGGAGGGAACTTTAAAGTATATAGTACAATAGGTATCCAGGAGAGACATAGATCTTGACTGCCAAATAATTCATATAAAGAATAGTAGTTAATTGGGAGAGAGAGAGAGAGAGTTAGAATATTCTAGTTATTGTTATAACTATTTGTTATATGTAGTTATATATGCAGTATAATTTTGGCTTTTTTTGACGTTTGTATAAA